TTCCCTAAACAGCATTAACCGGTTTGGCTCTGTAGCGGAGACGTAATGTTTCCTGTGAGGTATGCACTGAACACACTAAAACTCTGCATTCTGCCCACAGAGTGTGTCTGTGTGTTCCGTGTGGTCCTCACAATAAACAGCGACTGTTTCCCTAAACAGTATTAACTGGTTGGGCTTTGTTGCGGAGACGTAATGTTTCCTGTGAGGTACGAACTGAACTCTGCATTCTGCCCACAGTGTATTTGTGTGTTCCGTGTGGTTCTCACAATAAACAGCGATTATTTCCCTAAACAGCATTAACCGGTTGATCTCTGTAACTGTTAAAAGTTTTTGGTAACATTTCCCTCTCCAATCTCAACATTGGCCCGCAGCGGGTACCAGCCCACACTCTGCGTCCCCTGTGCGTATACTGTGCCAAACTCCACAAATAACTCCATAAATTTCTACCCTGAAGATGGACGCAACATACACCTCCGAAACTTCGGCAAACTAAAACCAAGCTATGGTCATTTTCATGAAATGCTGCTATTTAGAAGACCTTGCTGAAACCTGTATTTACGGAACAGTAAGTACTTGAGGTCCACGTCTTGTATTCAGAAAGTGCTCGGTTCGAATTTTAGTCGGGTCACCGGCTGTCCTGACTGAGATCTTTCGTGTTTCTCCTGAGTTCCCCAAAGGAAAATACTGGGACAGTATCTCGTTTAAGCCACGACCACTTCCTTCCACATGCTTTCCAATTTATCAGTCATCCCGTGCTGTATAACCGGGACTCTGGCAAAACATCGGCAATGACCAAAAAGAAACATGAATTTCGATTTCTTCAATAGTGTATATCTTCTGTCACTTAGACGCCATTACGATTAATAATTCCAGTAAAGGTGAATGCGTTCAAAGAGAATTTGCAGTCCTTTGCCACAACAGACATTTTCCAGAACGCTAAGTATTGTTGTATATCCTCACTCGTATCCACTTTGTTTCGCCTAGGTCGTTTATTCAAGGAATTTGTACAGGTCCGAGGCTTCTTGAGAATTTTCGTAAAAAGCTTCTTTTTTATGGTGAGGAGTTGTTAGCCGCACTCCCAACCCCCAAGCTGGAGGAAAACCCCTTGTCGGCTGTCCGCGACTGCTTATTCAATATATTTTCAGCTACCCTCCATCATGATAATTTCCTAGAAATATTAAATTTTCAGATACAGCACATCAGGGCTCGTCACTCCTTCACCCCCAACGCGCAATACTGCATTTTTGGTACACACACAACCGCGGAGTTTTAATATTCAAAATCTCAATTCTGCATTGGGTCATAAAATAATTAGTAATTTTTACATTTTATTATCTACAAAGAAAAGCTAGATTGCTAAGAAGTAATCCTATCACCCGTCTTGGAAATTCTGAAACAGCCGACATCAGATGGGCAAATTTTGTTCACGTTACTATGCATTTATAATGATCTTGTCAGTTTTGTACGCTGCTGTTTTGGGAAAATGTGTGCCACATGATCTACAACTGAGGCTTGCTTTGTTGAGAAACAGATATGCGTCGCCTGGAGCGAATGTATGTGTAAGTGGTCAGATTCTATTAACATAAATATTTATGTTGGAGAAAACTGCATTGCTGGTAAAAACAAAAGCTTACTACACATACACATACACACTTGCTAGCCATGCTTCTTGAAGAGCTCAGTGCAAATGGTATTATTTACACTCCACCGTACTCCTGAGAGATCCACAAGAAACGCTGTCTACTGATCTCGGTTTCATTTCGTCATGAGTTTCAGAAATGGCAAAAACGATTGAAATAAATATTTTCATCTCGTTACTTTTAAGAATGTATACGTAGGCTAAGTTGGATTTACTGTAGTGTTATGTCCTTCGGATCTTCAGTCAATGAACGTTTCATTCGCTTTTTTTTTTTCCTTAGCGGGGTGAGACTAAGTCCACTCGGTACTGCGGCCACTTCTGGTCTATTGTATCAGCCCCAGATGATAGATGAGGGTGATTATTTTATTATTANCCTTAGCGGGGTGAGACTTACGCCACGGCCACACGAGCAACATTTACTGCTCGAAATCCGCGACATATGAAGCTCAAGAGATACGCACCATGGAGTTAAATGAGAAAGGCCACACGGAGCAGTAAATAATGCTGGTTTCTTGGTAGAGGGAGCAATTTGATGGTCGCGTCGCGGACGGATGGGTCTCGGCCCATTTTCTAGCTGTATTTGTCGGTAGTTCGCCTGGCCACACGAGCTTCATTTGTCGCGTGCTTTATTTGGTACTTGAATCTTGTTTCTGTTTGATAGTGAATCGCTATGGAGTTTTA